CTGCAGATAGTACCCACTTGACCTGGCCTTCATGGCTGGATGATCAGAATTCGACTATAAGGAGGAAGAAGCGGGTTGGAGAGAGTAACCTGCTACAATTTGATGAACTTTACTTATACGTATGGATGTAGTAGCTTTAAAAAGGGAACAAATCTTTACAGCAAGGATCAATCCCACCCCTTCGGTACACAATGTTGACAGGGATGGGCAACTTAGACATTAGGTACCCAAAATGGGGAAGCCTGTAAAGGCAAGAAAGGAGCTCTGATAGCATAGTGGTTACAAATCAGGCTGTGAACCTCAGGAACAGTAGTTCGAAACTACCAGCTGTTCCACGGGAGAAAGATGAGGCTTTCTGCTACCATAAAGATTGACAGCCTCAGAAACCCTGTACAGGGTCGCTATGAGTCGGAACCAACTCCATGGCACATAACAACAACAACATAAAGGCAAGAAGTGACTGGCTTATGAGCTTTCAAGAGGGAGCCCAGTTCCAGATGGGGCAGGAGAATCACCACTGAATGATTTCCAATCTGTTGGGGCCAGGCTGGCGAAAGGAAATGGAGATAAGACTTCTGGGGGTACAATAGTGAATAATTGCCATCAGGACTGACTGTGAGGGTAGAAAATACAGATGTGGATTTTTTTTTGACAAAAGGAGGAGAGTGATTGATATTGCAGCCCAGGAGCAGAGGTCCCTGGGACCATCAAGTGAGAAAAAGGGAGAGCAGGACCCTACCCAGAGAGGCAGTGACGCCAGGAATGGAGACAGAGACGATGACGGTGATGTGGACAAATGGAGTAGCTAGGGCCACTGGACACAGGGAGGGAGAAGGGCTGCGTGCTGGCAGTCGGGGGGTGGGCCTGTGTGGTGTACTCTTTGCTTATTTGATGATGTGTGGAGGGGACTGTAATAATTGCAATGAAATGAAATACGACAGGGTGAGTGTAAAGCTGATGTTCTCTCACAATAAAATCTTTTTAAAAAGGCAGAGAAAAAAGTGATTAACTGATGAAGTCAAGTGATATAAAATAAAATCTTGTGATCTACAGATGGAAATACTAATGGAAAACAAACTGATCCCCACAGAACTGTAGAATGTTTCATAAACTACTGGTCTTGATACCACAAGAAAGGGGGATAATAGAGGCATTAGATGTAAATTTGTGTAACGAATAGTTTAGTTAGGTGTCTATGTCCCAACCCCAATTCACACAGGAGGGCACCACCCTTGATTCTGACTCAGAGCAAATATGTATAAGGTTTCCAAAGCTGTATGTCTTTAATGAAGCAGAAAATCTCATCTTTCTCCCATGGAGCAGCTGGTGGGTTTGAACTCTTTAACAATTGTTGATATGCTTGAGCCCATCTTTACTCATCTAAAAGGTCTTTTGCAGCAGATTTGCCTAATGCAATATGTCATTTGATTTCCTGACTGCTGCTTCCATGAGCACTGATTGTGAATCTCAGCAAAATGAAGTCTAATAACTACAATCTTTTCTCCATTTATCATGATGTTATTTATTGGTCTAGTTGTGAGGATCTGAAAAATATTTTCAGCGGTGAACCATTCAGTAGTGGTCTTCTCTCCTTCTTACTCTTAGTCTGGAAGCTCCACTGAATCTGTCCCCAATGGGTGATCCTGATGGTATTTAAATACCACTAGCATAGCTTCCAGCATCACAATAACACACAAGCCACATCACAATATAAAAAATGGACAAGACAACTGGTAGCGTTATTCTTTGCTGAAATGCAATCAGAAAGGTTTTAAACTCAAGGGAGGAGTGGCCAGTAGAAAATGAACGTTAAACATGTTTTATGTGAAAAGTCTACACACTTAATGGCAAAACCTCAACACGTCCCACCTCACTCTGCCCCATCTCTAGCTCCTAGAAGGCCACTACAAGGATACACACAACAAATGTAGAAGAAATGAAGCATCTTTCTCTGGAAAAATATGCAGTTCTATTTGAAAAGTCTTCAGACACTAATAGAATTTCCCCCAAATACCTAACTTGCTGCATAATTGTTATTGTTAAGTGCTGTCAAGTCAGTTCCAATTCGTAGCTACCTTGTATAGTCTTTCCAAGACTTTAAATCTTCATAGGAGCACAAAACTTCATCCTTCTATCATGCTGCATAATTAGCATAATGCAATTCCTAGCCAATACAATCAGAGTTGCTAATTAGTTCTGTATGGATAGTATGAGAGGGCTTCAAAAAGTTCATTAAAAATTCCAGT